TGCTGTCGGTGCTGTTGTTGCTGTTGTTGCTGTTGTTGCTGTTGTTGCTGTTGTTGCTGTTGTTGCTGTTGTTGCTGCTGTTGTTGCTGTTGTTGCTGTTGTTGCTGTTGTTGCTGTTGTTGCTGTTGTGGTGGTGGTGGTGGCGGCGGCGGCGATGGGGGGGCGGCGGTGGCTGGGGTGGTGCTGCTGCTGGTGCTGGTGCTGCTGCTGGTGCTGGTGCTGGTGCTGCTTCTGCTGCTGCTGGTTGCTGGTGCTGGTTGCAGGTGCTGGTGCTGGTGTGCTATTGTGCTGGTGTGCTGGTTGTGGCCATTGTGAGCTCTTCTTGTTGAAGCTGCTGCCGTTGATTATGCTGTTTACTAGACTGTTTATGGCACCGATCGCTGACAGCTGCGGCTTAGCAGGCCAGAGGTTGAGACTTGTCCCTACCCCCCGAAACACTGCAAAAGGGACTTGACGGGTCAGACAAGCTTCCTGGAAGGCACGCCTTCATGTTCTGAAACCATTTGCGAGGAAGCGCCGCCACATCGCAATATTTCGAAGCCATCGACAAGTCTGAGCACAGCAGGCTGAGTGGTTTCCTCCTGTGAACTCGAATCGACCAACCACACACCAAATCACATAGCTTTCGCTGAAAGGTCTGAATAAAATATTCTATTTGCTGCAGGTGGCTGGTCTGCTGCCACGCCTTTGATGTCGTAGATCCGGCGTACGCCACTCTTGCTGTTCACAGGAGTAACATAAGCGTGCTGAGTATCAGTGGGGATCACGCCCATGCCATTTCCAACTAAACTTTGAAACACAGAGGCCAGCTGTGACACATGCGGCTCTTCCAGAGGCTCCTCAATTACGGCATCCTCCAAACTCACGTACAGGGCTTCTGAAGTCCTCGTCTTTTTGCGATGCTGTCGGCGAGCACAGCATGCTGTGAGCGCAGCCCCTGCAGCCAGGCACCGCCAGCGGCACTGCTCTTGGCACTGCTTTCGGGCAATCACATTCCAGTTGCCGCATTGAGCGGCCAAGCTGTTAATACCTAAGTGTCGCAGGGGGAGGAATGGGCTGATAGAGGCGGGCTGCACTTGTCTGGTCGACGTTTCCTGTCGAGATGCCCCACCTCACCTTGGCCGGGTATGGAGGTGCCGCGGATCTAGACCCGACGAGAGCTGCCAACATCGAGGGCAGCGGCAGTTGGAATTCCAATGTGAAGTTTCTGAAATGTGATTGGCATTTGCCGCAATATTCGAGCGATCCATGTCTGGTATCGTTGCGCGCTGTTCGGTGTCGTTGCATGTTGCGAGAACATGGCTGGGAAGTAGTTGGCAATCTGCAGAACAAAGCCCGGAATGCAGGCGTCCCTGACATCGTCTGGTCCGGGATGCTACCCAGAACACAACATGACACCCACGACATTCAACCCCAACCCCGAACTCCAAACCCTAAAGTAAAACGTAGATTCGAAGATGATTCGTTGAACGAGCTGATAGCTACAGAACTGAGGCCGGTGGCTGCTCCGGTCTTCAGTGCAATCCAGAACCTGAGCTGCTGAGGATGCGCTGTCGCTTCGTGCATAGAACCGTTTTGTGGATTGTAGGTCATTGTAGGTTTTTACTCTGGCTACGGCTGCGGGTTGATTCTCCTGTGGTGCTTATCGGAGAGCGATGCTGAGCACCGGTCTCGCGGGTCGCACCGAGAGAGATGCTGACCACTGGGCAGTCGGAGTCCTCCCATCTTGAGAATTTGGGTGTTCGCGACCATCACAGCTGCAACTGCGTGGGCCTGCCGGCCTGTGGCATCATAAGCTGGGTTGCAAGAGTCATCACAAGCCCGCACAAGACAACATCGATGGCTCAGCGAAGGCCTTGCCGCAGAAGAGTGACTCATCGTCTGCATGCCAACCTGTTTGGACAAAAACTTCTCGGCCAGGCGCTGTACCAGACTCAAACTCATTCTGTAGCAAGCGGTGGCATCGAGACAATATACGTACAGCAAATGCTGATGCATACTCCCTTCGATTGGGAGAACTCCATCAGCCTCTGGGCGCCCCCGCCCACACCCTGGCGGCCGTCACGGTACAGATTGATGTTGGCACTGTTGGGCCAAGCCTCCTGTGAACATGCGGGGCTGTAGAGAACGGAGATCTGCATGCATAGTGCTACTGTGACAGCCGCTACTACGAACAACTCGCACACCAAAGAGAACTCTGCTCAAGGATGCTACTGCACAAGCCCTCGTAACTTGTGTGCTTACGTCGAAGCATGACAAGAAACACGAGCACGACTTCCTTGCCTTCTCCAATCCAGGGAAAAGGTCGCCGAACACATGTTGCATGATCTCCTGGCAACTGAATCGTAAGCTGCGGCTCGGTCCCCACATGTGGACACAACACGATCAGAAAAGCAGTTATGCGATGAGCCCCTAGCTTTGCCACCTGCTCTCCATCTCCCCCGTCCATCTGCCCCTCGACACGTCCGCATTATTCTAACTGGCCTTGAGGACAACCAACCCTGATCAACTCCCCTCGCGCACGTGTGCAGACGGGGGAGTCCGAGTCTGCTGGGCTTCAGTCGCAAACGTCGCAACTTCTCGTCTCTTCAGCCCGTAGTAGGACGACTTCTTTGGTGCTGAATGTGGGTGGGATGCTCAAGCAGCCCTGTCCCTCCTTCACATCCCGGCACACCTCCAGACATCGGCAGAAGAGGGAGGGACCCTCACCCCCGATGGACGGCAGGAACAGGCACCACCGAAGAAGCGTGGACATATCTCGCTATACCTTTGTTTCTAATATCTCTGCTTGTGCCAATCATCCTCCTTCTCCAAATGCTTGTTTCTCTACCTTTTTCTTCGTCGTCTTACCACTTTCTCTTGCCATCGCAATTCTGATCCGGATCGACACATCTCAGCCAAGTCATCCTCCATTGCAGCCTTGAAGCCGCTCAGCGACTCGTCCGAGAGGGGCTCCGCCTCATTCGATTCTGCACGGAGGAAACCAGCACATGCTTGATCCAACCAACAGGCCAGGCCTGTCGTCACACCGTGGCTTCGAGCAACGTGCTTTCGAAAGATTGCACAATCATGCTAGTACACTGGATGTGCACTGAATACACGAAATGAACCTGAAATATTGAAGCCGCGCACAACAGTCAAGCCTCCACGGATCCATGGATGAACTGCGGAGCTTGCAGACGCAGGCTTGAGGCCGAAACAGTTAGTGCATCCAAAGGGTGGGCTCCAAATCTGTTGGACCGTTGAAAGTCTGTTGAGGGTGTCAAGTATCCTGTGTTTCAACCGGCTCCTTTGTACCCTCCTTTTGTTCGGGTGATAATGATAATTATGCTTCATGGTAATGGTAATAACAAAGATAATAAGAATAAAACATAATGACAGTAATAATAACACTAATCTTATTATTCATAACTATAGTAATAGGAAGATTAGCAACAATAAAAAAGATAGTTATGGTGATAGTAAGTTCTGGGGTCCTGAAATGAGAAACTGAAGATTAGCGGCCCGCGACTTCATCATTCTGCCAAGAAGCCTTTAGAAAGTCTTATAGAGCCAGGCCGCCATGGCATGTCATGTCATGGAATCCTAGGTCTTCACGAATGAATCAAGTACCACGTCTTGACGGCATGGAGAACCGCCATCTCCTTCGCTTCGGAGTATAAACCTTCAACTCTTGCTTTAGCACTGGCTACAAATGGTGGCCCCATCGAGTAGGGCAGCTGGCAGTCCCAGGTGTCTATATACAATGTCAACAGAAATCCCCACAAATTAACGAACAGAGGCCACTAGCCTGGTCTGAGCCGGTCATATCCTCCACTTGGGCACGACCTAGGTGGGCAAATTCGAGTGGCTGTGCTGGGCTGCTTTTTCTGGGAGGCTTCATCTGCGCTGCGCAGACAACAGCTGCCAGCTGGATACTATGCTGCGCGGCCTCAGCTCTAGTGTCTAAAATGTCCAGCATAGGCACCGTCATCGCAAAACGATGTCCGCTCAAGCATCCGAAGGCATCAACCAGCTGAGCGAGGCCCCTGCCGTCTGCAGCATTCATCACATCAGCATTGGTCACCTCAAGCAGGCTGAGTTTACGATACTACCATGTGTATAAAGCCATGTCCGTAATGTCGGATGCAACTCGGCGAAGAGAGTTTCTCGCTGCAAAGTCTTAATGCCACACTGAAGCGTTTGAGGGATCTCCCTCGGCTTCAGGCAGACGTGCAGATGTCCCGGCCACTGCCTTGTGCGAGTGGCCGTCGCAGCTCTAAACCACGATGTGAATTGCCCGGTGCCCGGTGGGAAGGGGAATGTGCGGATTCCTCAAAAGCCAGGCGTTCTTGTTGTGGATTTAGCAAGAGCTCGTGGATGGGATGGCTATGTTCGAGCCGGCACACGCTTGGACTTCGGCGTTCTTGACAGCGACGCAGTTCAGGCAGCCTTTGCCACACCACGAGCCCCAGAAGCAGCTCCACTTGCAGTTGGAAGCACCTCAAAGTTGAAGCCCAGTGTCACGCATGAGAGAGCTTACTCGACACGTTCGCTGTGCATCCAAGAGGCCATACTGGGCTGAAATGGAAAAGCAGCTTGCGCAACTTCTGGCGAGCTGGGTGTTGTCCTGGTCTGTGCTGCTCAGAACTTGCAGTGCAAACTTGCTCCATGGACTGTGCTGCAGCATAAGTGTGGACATTACTTGCTCCAGGGACAGTGCTGCAGCATAAGTGGACATTTTCTCATTACTGCTCAGGTCTGCTAGGAGGCTTGCATGATTGGACCAAGCTTCCACGAGGCAGCGGAGAAAATCATTGTTGCGGAAGCCCGTGAAGATGTTGAAGCTCTTCTTGCCGCAGTCAGACAGGATACGAGGGAAGCTGTTCTGCCCGGAGCCTGGGAGACGGCTGCTCAGATCTACTGGTTACTGGGTTTAATCAAATCCGATTCTGTACTAAAGTCAAACAAAACGGAAGTGGAAGGAGGAGGCATCCTGCAAGAATTTTGAATCCGGGCCGCCACTTCCGAATGCCGTCATGAGGGTTTCGTCGGCTTTTGTGCACATGCCCTGGCCTGCAGCTGTGGCAGCTGCACCTTCTTGGGGATGTGTCGCTGCAGTGGCATTTAAAGCACTCGTTGCATTCTTGCCTGCTCCTGACGTGCGCACAGACCGGAAACTTCCCGGCTGTCCGTTTCAATTCTGCTAAGCGTTTATTTCTTTAATGTCATTACTAGCTATGATCATCATCATTAACTAGGCATATTAATACTAATATTGGTAACTCAAATTTTTACAATTACAATCGTTATCCTAAACCCTAAACCCCAAACCCAACCGTGTCACAGTAGAGAAACCTCACAGCTCCTGGCGCTTCCCGGAGGCCTTCCGCTTCGAGGCCGGTGAAGAGAGTCAGGAAGACCAAGCTTGCTAGCATCATCTTCTCACCTGGCAGTAGTAATAATAATACTTCGAATAGTAACAGTAGTAATAGTAGTAATAATAATAAGAATAATAACAATAATAATAACAGTAATAGTAACAGTAGTAGGTAGTAGTAGGTAGTACATGTAGTAGGTAGTAGTGGGTGGTAGTAGTAGTAGTAGCAGCGTAGTAG